GCTGTGACGTGTCTTTAAAACAAAGAATGTTTAACTTACCAGATGAACATGCGGCATAAAATACCCAAAACATGCTATCGTRCCAGCTACTGACCAAACTAAAAATCTTGGASTCTTTGGAAACTKACAGTCACGAATAATTCTAAACAATTCCAGTGGYTGGCTGGAGATTGTAGTGTCTCTTTCTATGCAACATGCAGAAGTCTGCTCCAGAGGGATATCGTCCTCATTTGGATCTGGTAAAGGTTTGAAAATAACTCCACAAACAACTGTGAGAAGAGAGAAACCACTTAAGAATCTGAAACAATTTCTCCAGCCAAATGACTCGACTATAAACTGCTGTAGAGGCGCTAACGCAATGGCGCCAATATTCCCGCCAGCAGCGGCTATACCCGTGGCTAAAGAACGTCTTTTCTCGAAATAAAGTGCGACCATCACCAGAGCAGGTAAGTAGCTCAAACTCGAGCCAATGCCGAAGAGAACGCCATGGGTGAAGTACATAATTCTCATGTCATTACAAAACGAGGAAAGTAGCAGTCCAACGCTCATCATTATTCCTCCAAGAATAGTCATCGGTCGACATCCAAAACGTTCACACAAAAGACTTGACCCATAAGCAAAGAAGTATATACAAAACTGAGCTATTGATCCTACCCATGCTGTAAAATAATAAACAAAATAAACATCACAAAGATTTGAACTCATATGGCAAAAAGAGAGGAATATCAATTTCAGCTCATGGTAATTGATGGTTTTCAACAATTAACAGGAGAGAAAGTTAAACAAAAGATGTCCGCCATTGCCATCAATAACAGTGCTAAGGCGTGGGTTCGAATCTCAACACAGCAATTAGTCTTCCGCTTCATCCTAATCCGAAGTCAAGTAATTAATAGTAATCTAAATCTAATCTGATCTTAAAGCGCTGGTTTTAGGCACCAGTCTCGTTAGAGACGTGGTTTCGAATCCCAACGCTGCCATTGTTTTAATTAACGATTTTTTGCCAAAACAAAGTACGATTTTACGCATAATGAGATCTAAAACCATCTGATGGTAGCGTGGCCGAGTGGTCGAAGGCGCTGGTTTTAGGCACCAATCTCATTAGAGGCGTGGGATCGAGTCCCACCGCTGCCAATCTTTCAAAGTTTTTTGTCAAAAAACTGAGCACAGATTTTCACATCATGAAAGCTAAAACCATCTGATGGTAGCGTGGTCGAGTGATCTAAGGCGCTGGTTTAAGGCACCAGTCTCGTTAGAGGCGTGGTTTCGTATCCCACCGCTGCCATTGGCTTTTAAAGTTTGCAAAAACAAAGTACATTATTTCACATATGAAAACTAAAACCATCTTATGGAAGCGTGGCCGAGTGGTCTAAGATTTGCAAAAACAAAGTACATTATTTCACATATGAAAACTAAAACCATCTTATGGAAGCGTGGCCGAGTGGTCTAAGACGCTGGTTTAAGTTTCTTGCAAAAACGAAGTACATTTTTACATAATGAAATCTGAGTCTGCGTCACAGACAACTGGAGCCACTGACATCGCTGCTCCCTTGTTTACTCTTTTATCAATCCCAAAATGCATYGTATCACAAGGCTTTCCTCGGGTCGTAATAAGGACTATGAAAACGATAAAATCTTCTGGTTGACATTTGGCGATTGATTGACAGCAGGCTATTCTCGTTCCCAGTGCCTTATCCTTTCGCTTCGAGAGTAGAGGTTGTCGTACGACTTCCATATATGGATGTCCATATGCATGTCTCTCATGTCCCTATAGAAGGTTCATTAATTATATATTCAATCTTATGCCGTTGCATAACTATCACAACAATTTGGCTAAAAAATGGCTAGGTTTAGGAAAAATATCGGGTTAGGCAATGCATAGCGCTGGTTCGAATCTTAGTACGCGTCCTTCAGTTTAAGTCTTTGAAAATTTTCTAAGTTCCTCTCCGGCGTAAAATTGAGACATGAGAGCCTTCACATGGCGCTGTACATGATGCACCACCATATATGGAAGTTGTACGACATACCACCTAGTCTCCTGAAAGCCGTTCTTAGTGGCTGGCCCGCCATTTGCAGTTATTTTGAATTTAAACCTTACTGGAAAACCCATTTGAAGTCAAATCACTATGTATTAATAGGCTGTCTGGGAGAAAAAACGGAAGTCCGGATACTCAAATTACCATAAACGTATAAGCCGATGACGCACAAACTTGAACTCTAGACAACGTTTAATCGAAATGTGACCCTGTCAAGCTATCGATAGCTCCATCGAAATGTTTTAGAGAGATAAGGAAGGCCACATGCCGCATGTACACAATAATAAGGATGGCATAAGGTACCGGCAAGAAGCTTTCCTTTCGCTTTAAAAATAAACAATGAAATTTTGGTTCCATACATAAATTAGCTAATATTAAAATGGATGATTTCTTCTATATATAAGTAAGAAACATATCAATGCATGATGATATGTGCACTCGTTTTGACATGCACTTGCACGCAGAAAAAAGATATTTAATGATTTCAAACTGTTATAAAAACAGACATCTATCGTCGTTTAAGCACTTAAATTTTGCATGCAAATTAGGATTTAATGGTTTTGATGTTCATTTGTTTAGAATAAAACCAGTTGTTGCTTGAATAATTAATTAGATTTCAAGCTGATATTTAAATTGAAACCCTTCTCTAAGCGATCCTGTTCTTTGACTGACATTCGATTCAAACAAATTTATGTTTTTAAAAGTAGTAACATTCAAACAGAACACATGCCCGGCACGTTCTCACTTGTTCTCAAACTGTCGAAACCAAATCTAAACCTAAATCTAAGACCTAAAGCTAAACTACGGACTTTTGCTTGATCAGTAGTTTTGTGTTTGGTCTTTCGAAAACGTACATTTTTGTTGCTTTCATACATCCGATGAATWCAAGAGTGTGAAACAGGCCTGAGTGTGAAGTACGAGTTTTCGACGCTCGTACAGACTGCCTAAACTGATGCTCAAGCACGGAACGAGCAGCTCAAATGTCCGCGTGAAATCTGAAGCAGAAAGATTATAATAACTTCACAAAATTTTTGAGATTCAAGATGCCAGCGTTTATTCTGGTGTTTACCTGTACTTGACTTGGACTGGCCAAAATGGTCCAACAACGCAACGAATAAAACCCCAAACGTATACTGTACGCCAAGAACTATGAAAATATCACAAAATGCTGCTCCACATATCAGCCAGGCCCACTTGCCATCTTTCTTTGGCTTATTCATAGTTTATTGCCCGTTGACTCATAATAGGACACTCTTGACCAAAGCAAAGGTAGATAATGTCACCGTACTCCTGTTTATCCAATACAATCGGATCATAACAAAGGTAACCCAAAATCAAACTAGAGCAGCCAGGCATGTGATCCACTGGCTGCGTGCAGCCCCCCGGGGGTGACTCCCTAATATCAAAGGGCGGGGGTCCTCRGCKYCCCTTTTAGGGTTTGAAATCAGTATTTTGGTCCCGCTTAGGGTGATCATGACAAGAATTCCTACCAACTGAGTATTGTGGTCCCTTTTAGGGTATACGGCGACCCTAAGCAGTCATAAAATGGCAACGTCGTCATAAACTCAATACGAGCCGACGGCCGTGTTCGATGATTGTGTAAAAACACAAATAAAATCGATAAACCAAAACAAAATGAGCTGTTATTGATTGGTCCCTTTTAGGGTTGAAATTTCAGCACTGCCACGCCCATCATCTCACAATAAAGGTCCCTTTTAGGGGTCATTTTCACAATCTCCGCCGAGGACCCCCGCCCTTTGATATTAGGGAGTCCCCCC